TGTGCTCGTACAGAACACATCAATGAAGCGGATCATCGGGATAGTAAAGCCGTGCTCTCATGAATTTTCCATTGCGCACCGATGAGATGTTGGAGCACGCTGTTTGCAGAAGCGTCCAAAACTGGAAAGGGTCTCGGTGTGCATTACCATTCAAGTAATAGTGTTGCTATCGAATAACTCGAGTCCGCTCTATTGACGTGCCTCTTAAAAGTATACCCAGGATCAGATTGGTGTGGCTCTTGCACACGAATGCGAATGTATTGGTGCGAAATGGGCCGGCAGTAAAGAAAAAAGGAAAAGAATCCGTCAAAAACGCTCAGGTTAAGGGCTCACTCACCTTCCTAATCGGCTGTGCTAAGGGAATGAGAGACTAAGCGCGGAGAGGAGAGTATGAGGCGAGAGAGCGCTACAGATGAGAGAGCGCCAGACAACAGCCTGATGAAAAAAAAAATTGCAGCTGCAGCAGCTTGCTTTGCAAACTCTAGGGCTCTCGAGTAATTTCCATGCAGGGAAATGCCATAATCGTGATTCCTCTATGACCGAAGGGAATCGTTCGCACGACTTTTCTTCAGGTTGCGCCTTTAAGTGCTGAGTTCAGAATTTTGCCCGGCAATCCAGAATCACTGTACCTGCAGAAAGAGTGAGGGATGAATATCGAGACATCGGCATGCGGCTACAATACATAGAGGGCTCTCGTAAGCACTCAAGACTCTATTTCAAAACTCTACACTCGCGTCCCCTCCAACATTATCGAGCTCATAAAGAAAAATAGAAGTTCCAGATAAACTGCCGACCGTATTTTGATGCGGCTTACCTTTAACCATGTTGTTGTAACGACAAAGCTCAATATATTGGATATCATGAGAACAATCATTATCGCGGGTTCATATATCGTTTTGAAGTAAATCTGAAAAATTTCTTGTTGAGCACTTCCAAGGGCATCCAAAACAAGAGCTTTTTGAAAGGCTTATTTCTGTTTACCGCTGTTGCCACAGCGCGTGATGCGAAATTTCTCAGAAGGGTGCTAAGTATGTTACTGATTTATTGGTATACCAGATTAGTCCCCCGTCAACCGCCGGGACCTTCCTTTCCTGCGCAAGCTTTCTATCTTCCGCTATGGTCCCTTCCTCCTGTGACACCAACACCTCGTGGAGGTGACGCGTATGCAACAAAAAGGAGTTTCATATGGTAGAGTACATCGTAATTGTTTATATAGCCGTAGGGGTGTTATCACAACTATCCTGCTACAAAACATTGATATCTCAAATCCTGTAAGCTACCCGATTGTTAGCGGTTTGTTTATCCCATTAGCCTCTTTATCACTCACTTCAGGACATACATATACTCGATATCCGAAAGTTGGGGTAGGTGTGTCATCGGAAATGACGTGGCCATCGCCGCACTTGATAAAAGCCATGTGGATAAGCTGCTTCCAACACATGGGTGGCCAAAAAAAAGACACTTCACTCCACATTTCAGACAGCATTAATCACACTTTGCTAGAATCAAATCGACTGCCCCAACTTGGTATTGAAGAGCACATTCTAATCTATCTAACTGTTTCATGATAGCTGTTGCGAATCGGAGGCGTCCTGCACCAGGAGTAGCGGGCGAGGAGTGCTATCCGCGGGTATTAGAGCAACTCCTAAGTTGGTTCTTCCCTCCCCCTACTTGGCCGTCTACGCCACGCTGCCTCCCGACTCCCAAGAGGACCGCTGAACTATCCCTAGCCACTGCGCACTTCCTGGCCTTAATCACTTCGAGCGCTGGCATCGTCTGGCTCATATCCCGCCACCAGCGTATTGCGCCACAGCTGATCACTTCATTATATGAACCAGAACATTGGTGTGTCGGTTTGTTGGTGTGTGTGTCGTTCTGTCCGTCCGGACCAACCGCTCACAAAACCAGGGAGTACGAAGGGCAACACTTCGTGATGTTGATGTCATGATCATGATAACACCCACAGCGGCTATATAAACACCGATCGAGCACACTCAAGTCTCATTCTATTAGGTTGTCTCATAAATAGTGTCGCTTTTTTTCAACCAAAAAATTTTCATCTAAATCCCATGCTTTTACATCGTGTCATATACCATTCGAAAGAGAATTGTCTGCTCTACAAGATGCTATGTTCCACTTCCACCTTTGTTCCAGGGTTTTCAAATTTTAGGCCTGCGAAATGGGAGGTCCAGCCGACAAAAATTGACCAAACCGACAACTATCTCTAACTTTATCTTCCCTTGGGAGAAATCAATCAATGATGTACCCTCTACTTATGCATGACCTCTTCTAACATTACACTATTAGGTTTCCCACAAGTCGCGTCGTTCCATTTCCAGACCTGGTTTTTCAACCAGAACTCGACGGTCGAGCACCATTACCTGAGATCTAGGTCGAAATTTTTTTATAGCCGAGACATTGAAAAACTGGTAGAATTTGAAGAACAAGTC